AGCATCAATCAGTGGATGTGATTTTAGTGTTACAACTGCATATCCGACAAGCGAATTCAATATTAGTCTAAATGCATTTTGCCAGTAACAAATCAACACATAATAGTTGGCATAAATGATTCTGAATTATGCCATTCTGCCTGTTCAAACTCAAAGACTGTCGTTGCTCTTTTTTCTTTCCCCACACAACAGTACCTGTAATACTCTCAAGGTCTCAGGCACCTTCAAAGGGTTGCATTACTTTTCAAGAGCTTGTTACTACAGGGAAGAACCAGCCGGTATCTGTTTGCCACCAGGGGTGGCTGTTTCATTTCTTCCACAAATAAAGGTTTTTTTTTTGCTTCCAAATCCAATCTTTTTACTCCTACACCTCCTCCTGGGGAAAGCTCCCCAAATAGCAAAGCAGCACTTCAAACACCATCGACAGGGTTCAGCTTGGAGCTGCCCAGCAAGGAAAGGGAATGGGACATATCATGGAGTTAAACACAAACCAAAGCTCCTGGGGAACACAATTGTGGTTGAGCTTACTGTACACTGATCTTGTAACTTCATTCAGAGGTGGATTCACCACAGGCGCCCAGCGGCATATTCATAATTCCTTCATACATTGGAAATTCTCTGTAGCTAGGAGCTTTTAAGAATGGGAACTCCAGGCCAGTCATGTTTGGTAGATGAGAGAGGCTCGGTCTGAAAAGAGGAATGCTACCAGCTTTCCCAACAGAGGATGTCTAATGAGACTGAGGGATGGTCGAGTGATTCAGGGTAGAGCTTAGTGATGTCAGACCTTTTCTCCCCAAAATGTCGTCCTTTTCACAGAGACATATTGTAAATGAATGACCCGATAACATTAACTAGTTGCAATGCAGCGCTTTAGTGACATGTCTTTTCAGGGGTTTCTGAAATGACCACATCTGTCTTTGTTTCTCCCAAACAGAGAGAAAAGTCTTTTTTCATGAATCTATCCCCTCCAGCTCTCTCTGGCTCCATGCTTATAACCCTGAAGCAGCTCAATGGGCTCACACTATGAGCCATTATTCACTCCAATACTTTTTCTCTATGCTGGTCAATAGCCAAGGACATAGCCAGAACTGAAAAGGGCCAGACAGATCTGACCACAGAGCCAGCATCACAACCAGCCCCCATCTTATGGAAAATGTTATGGTTTGTTCAACATAAAACAGAAAACATCCACATATGGCTTTATTTATTTTTGTCATCCAGGCCATCTGGATGCTGTTGCTTATGTTGAAATATGGTAAAGTCTTCATAGTAATAACTTCTGGCAGGTAGCCTGACATGCATTGGCAGTCTTTCACTCCCCTTCCTTTTAATCCTCAACAACTCAATCAAACAACTTGTGCATATACCTGGGCTTTTCTCTGTACCTTGTCTCTTCAAGCCTCCCTCTTTGCTATAAAAAGAAATCTTTATAGATTCACATTTTAACATTTTACTAAATGAATTTCTTTTCAACCATTAAAACTGCAAATGACCAAAAAAGACTAACATGAACAGAGTCACTGATCATTGATGAACCCATGAAATACTGTATTATGATCCAAGGCTGCAGTTCTGCTCAGCTCTAGAGAGTTTTAGCATCTTTCAGCTCAATGTTTTGGTTTTACAGCCGGCAACTTGAGTTTTCACTCACTCGCTACCGCTTGCACCGACACTTGATTTCATGTGCAGGAAAACAGTTGCACACTGCCTTCCCAGCACCAGATGGCAGGCACTGTTCAGCCCCTAGCTGGCGAAGATGGAGCACTTTAGCAAGCTGAATAAATGTTCTAGATAATGCTAATGCTACTCGGTGCCTGCTGATGTGTAAATAGGAAGAGGTTTGCTAACATAACATGATACTACATCAGTGTTGTGTTTACAACTTTCTGTTCTGCCCCCAAGTAGTGAAAAAAAGTGCAACATGAGTTTAAGGTAAAGACAAATCACAGACTAGATGTACAATTAAAACTGTCAAAAATAAAAAGGTTTAAGCTTCATTATGTCGTGTTCCCCACTGAGAAAGGCAAGATAGTCTTAGTGTCTTGCTTATCAACAAAATGCACACTTTTATTTCAGTTACAGAATAATTCATTCTACAGCACTAGTTCTACTCTTCTGTCAATAGAAATGATGCAGAAGAAGCTTTTTAGTGATTATTTAGAGACAAAGTATTTGCTTCTATGATGGGTTTTAGACTCATATTTACAACTTTCAGCTTATGAGCAGATAAAGGTGGCAAGTGTGTTCTGCCAAACTGCTGCAGGGTGATGCAGCATAAATGAGGAAAATGTAGGATTTAATGAGGGAAGTACTGGGCTCATGAATCCACAGTGCAATCATTTGGCTTCGGAACTCTTGGATTATTTTGAGGGAGGAACACTTCGGGGTAGTTTGTTTCTTATTTTTGCACTTATGGAACTAAAAAAAAAAAAAAAGAACATGTTAACGTCCTCTTCAGCCGATTCAACAAACTTGCTGTGATAATGTGGACATTAAGACTTCAGTGAGTTTTGGATTTACATGAGGGTAAGGAGAAAATGAGTACATGTTACTTTTTGGAGTTTTGTTTATTAACACTTTTTGCTTTTTATCAACTGGTAGTATTACTTATTCAAATATCTAATTCAGAATCCATTAAATCTATGTAAATGGGTGACAAATTAAAGAAAAATACTGGATAAAAACTGGATATAATAGTGGATGAGCCACTAATCTGCTGATTATTTCCTAGATCATCTGATTTATGCTTTTATTTACATACTTTTAAAAGCCCACTTTGATTTGAGAGCCAAATATGGTGTCTCCAAATGGCTTGTACTGTCCACATGACTAATCCAAAGATATTCAGTTATATAAAAGGTGGAAACAGAACATTTTGGTGATTTTTTTGCTTCAAAACAGTCACTGGTGAATGTTCTGTCAGTGAACTGACTAATGGTTGCAGCCCCACTGAATGGTTTGCTGAGCAGGAAGATGAGGGAATAGGTTCTGGAGGAACGATGCTTCCTCCCTCCAGCAGAGGAGCACTGAAGCTGCTCGGGAGACCCTTTCTAAACAGATTGTTCACTTTGTTAGTTTTTTTTTTTTAATTGTCACCCATCTGTAAGTTATTTTCAGATGGCTGTAACTTAGGTTTTCCTCACATATCCGTTAATCTGCAGTTACAGCACCACTTAGTGTCTTTAGTCTTAACACTGGCTCACCTGTCGCATACACAGAAGGCATTAAATCAGAACCTGAAAGACTGTAGCCTAGCAGGGGGTAATCATTAAACATTTTCAGTGACAAAGAGCCCTGTGATGCACTGGAGTTTCAATACTGTGGTGAAAGTGGTCTGACCTTCAGTTTCCACCTGTTGGAAAAAGCTTTAGGTAGACTGTTTTTGTGAGAATAAAGGGAGCCACATGAGGATACAAAGTAGGTGGTGCTCTTTTGTGTCTAGCAAGTGGCTGCAGCACACTGAAGACACTGTCAGACTTCACCGGTGGTCTGCCAGCCAACACAGAGCATGGTTTTACAACTGGATACAGAGTATGTTGCAACTCAGTGACCCATTAAAGGTGAAAATTTGGAGAAGTTTAAAGGCTAGCGGACTACTCGGCTGTGTTTCTGTAACTGCCTCCATGCTTAGGTGTAAGGAGAATGAAGAGGAGGTGGTTAGCCACAATGTTTAGGTTCCTGGAGACCCCCAACAGCTCAAAAAGCAAACTTCATATTGCTTCTTCAGCTCAGTACTTGTCACTTTTGTGACTTCTACTACTGTAATTTTTTTTTTGAAAATGGCTTATGAACATTTAATGAGACCTTCATGAAGTTTATAACAAAAATGACCACTTCTCCTCGGGTTCTCATAAACCAGTTGTAAAGCATGGTTAAATAAAATCTGCTCTTTATCTGGGATTGGTGTTGACTGCACCTCTTGGGCAGCATCACCTTCCCCACTACGACGAGTCTATTTAGAGTTTTTGTTTTGTGGCAGTGGGATGGGTTAACACTTCAGTACTTTTACACAAATTGGGGTGCAATAAAATCAGAAGAAAAGCAGAGTATTTAACTGTATCTAATGTATTTATTATTACACATATGGTGGTGGGATCTGTTAGCCAATCAAAATCCAAACAAGGAATACTGTGGAGCCAGTAAACTGACTTTATGAACATTCACAAAAGCACTCATAACTATAAATCACTTTTATTGCTACATTCCTCAAAAGAGCTCCACAGACCCATCAAAAGTAACCATTAAGAAACTAATTAATTGCAGGCCCAAACAGCAAAAACCTCACCTTTGTCTCAAAAAGTGTTTTTTGAAAAAAAAAACAAAAACATTGACATAATCTACAGACTCCCATTAAAGGAAAGAAAGAAACAGCTCAGGAAATTACTGTATAAGAAGACAGCTAGCTCATAGTCATCCAAAATTTAATTGGCCCCATTCAACATCGCTCTACTACATCTTAACCGAAATGGCTCAGCCAAACATCAGCTGGACATTTCTAGTTGCAAAGGTTCGGTCTGTAAAGACAGCGATCCAGGCAAGGACACAGTGGAAAGCTACAGAGAACTGTAAGCTAAATCTGTGAGGGACAAGAAGAAAAGGGGAGCAACTGCTGTATAAAATGCTTGCTACTGATGTGTACTTTATCCTCATCCTATATAGTCAACCTCTAACCAAACAAATGAGCAGTAGATTCAAAACTTCACATACATGTCCAGCGCCTGGTCATCATCCTTATTATAATGTCAGCAAGGGACGTTATTTTTGTCTTATAGCTTCAGTGGGTTTGGGGGAAATCAACACACACCACATAGTCATCAGTAACACCTTATGGATTTAATCTATCGATGTGAAATGCGCATGGTGAGAGTAAGTGAACAAAAAGAAAGAGAGGTAGGGAGGGAAGGGGAAGGAGAGTGGGAGTGTTATGCGTGTGTGTGTCATGCGGGCATTGTCTACACCCATCCATACAGAGTCTGTGTGTGTGTGTGTGTGTGCAGACATATGAATGCAAGAGTCAGAGTGACGAGAGAGAACCGACTACATATGTGGTTCACACAGATCTTTTCACAAAAGCTCCTTAATCCATTGAAGAGGAAACAGCTGGATCGCGGTGCGCCCCCATACCACGACCAATTAAGAGTGAGCGCGCATTTATCGTCTTTGAGGACGTGAACATGCGCTGATCTGTCATCTTTTCACGCTATTTATATTTTCAGTCCACTTTTAGTGCAACACGTCGTTTCTGTGGATTATATGAAGCTGGTTGGATCCTAAGGACAGAGTGCGTCAAGCGAGCGCATGTATCCAACAAGTGAATGCACGAATCCGCTCGCAGCAGACAAACCCTGGGACTAAAAACAACAATCTGCAGACTGACAGCATTCATACGGTTGTACCCACTGACTGGGTTGAAATAGAGACAAATATCCTGCACTAATTAGCTGTGCCTCAGATGCGGAGCGTGTCTGGGTTGAGGAAGATGTGCATGTGTGCGCATCGTCTCGGTCTGAGGTAGTTTTCTATCTACAGATTCCGTGTGTTATTGATTTCCAAGCAAATAAAAAAACTGCAATGAGGTAAGAAATCGCCTATATTTTTTCTGCTCGTCATTCATTGAGCAAAAGCGAGATTTTGAGGGACGCGCTGCGGATTCCATCGTTCCCCACCTCACCCCTCTACCCCAATGGACTCCCGACTCTTTTCCCTCGGTGACTGTAGGGGAAAGTTGGCGTCCTCTCTGTAGACATTTCTTTATGAGGAAAGCGCAGGTGGAAGCCAAAGGTTGCAGCCATGCCGATGCATCCAATCACCTCCACCTTGATGTACCGGGGGATGTGCACTATCCCCGACATCCTCTCCTACAGCGCCCCGGTAAACCTGCCTGAAGACGAAGTTGAAGGTGAGATGATACCTGTTAACGTAGCCCCGAGGGGATTTCATGGCTCCTCAGCAACACAGGTGGTGTTTTTCCTTTCACAATAGGCTCATGTGGTGCCAGTGTGTGTGTGTGTGTGTGTGTATGTGCTCCTGCAGTGAAGCGCATTCAAACAGACGCGCGGTCAGCACCTTGGACAGCGCTCAGAGATCTGATTTCGCAGGCGGAGAGAGGATTGTTTTTTCTTTAGCTTATAACAACCTGTTTTAGGCTTTATTTTCAAACCCCTCCCCTCTTAATATATGAAAAAGATTGTGGAAAATTAATTAGCCACTGTTATCAGCTATTTAAACTGTCTTTCATTGACTAACAATATCGATTTGTGCTCAATCAGAGGGTCACACACATTTGCCCGCAGTGCGAAGTAGCTTTGGTTAAAAAGACATCTCAGCACCGTCTCTGCCATAAAGTGTTATGGAAGCTAACTGGAAGCAGAAAATCCAGAGTGAAATTTTGATTTATGGAAACCTGATTTCAGTAGCAGATTAAATCCAACTAATCTGCTAATCCAACTAATTTGTCCAGATGATCCAAAATGTTTGATAGTCCATCTTCAATGAGGACTGTGAAATCTTTAAAGCACATCTGCTAAATGACTGAGCCAACATCCAGGTTAAATCTCCTCTTGATTAAAGAGAGTTTTTTGAAAATAATTTTTCTACACCAATATTCATATTCAACCTCTACAGCACTGTGGTGGCACATGATAGGAAAAGGGGAGAGACTACCCAACAAGCATGCTGACACACGACTATTCTGAGCAATTTGCCTTTTTCAGTATTATGAGAATTTTACTGCTTGGAGCCACATGATCCTGCAACATCTAGACATTAGCAACACCACCAAGGGCATTTGTCAAGTCCCAAAGGATGTGTAATGACAATAAGTTGTCATGTTTTTAATGATG